TTAACAATGCTTATTAAGCTAATTTCATTAATAAGATTATGTTGAAAGGATTTTGAAGAACTTTTCAGTGGTTGTTAGATTTTTTTAAGCAAATGATGACTTTTCTTGTCCTTGAGAAGCCAATTTTTAGTCTTGAAGTATCTTATTTGAATGCAATCAATGTATTTAATATATATTGCTAATTGTATTTATTATATGTTAATTCTTTTCAATTAATTGGCAAGATGTTGTTTTATAATGACTTGAAGTCATTAGAATAGAATTAAATATATATTTTTTATCTTTAAGGGACAAATATTATAAAATTATTATATGTAAAACATTTAGAATCTACATTAATTGAATATACATTTGTTGAATATCTTTGTTAAATTAACATAAAGTGTAAGTATTTGTTCATATATGGTGGTTTCACAATGGTTGAGGCAAGTCAAGAATGCATATGGTTAAGATCTTTGACCCAACATGTTCAAAAGGTAATGTGGCTTTACAAGAATTGCCAGAAGTCTAACCTTATTATAAAATGATTGAAAAAGGCAAAATGCCCAAGGCCACCCCCAAAGTTAGGTAAGAGGGATGGATCCATCTTTAAACAAAAAATAGGTATAAATTTACCCACAAAATTTTTGACTTGGACAAATCATCTCAAATTTAATTTGTCACGTCAACAATCCATTAACAATGAACTTATGAGCAACACAACAAGTTAATAAATTATTGACATCATCTGACATCATATGTTAAATTTAAAGTAATTTGTCCAAGTTGAAAGGTAATTTGTCTAAGTTGAAAGGTAATTTGTCCAAATTGAAAAGTTTATATATAAATTGTCCCTATTTTTTGTTTGGAAGTGAATCTATCTCTACTACCTAACTTTAGGTGATTTGGGCATTTTGTCATTGAACAAATCAAGGAAAAAAGTGGAAACCAACATAACTCACTAGAGTTCTTTTTTACATATAAATTCCATAAAATTAGTAAAATAGATACCTAACTCAATGGTTCGAGTGAGAATTTTGTCGTGCTTCTCACAAAATCATTGCCTACTAGGATTTTTTAGTAGCTTGTAGATGTAATAAGCATGCGTTGCCTTAGACACCTTTGTTGAAGTAGGGGAAATTTTATATGCACTATAATCTTTTTCCTTTGCTATGGGTCTTTTCTTATAGGTTTTTTCATAACAAGATTTTTAATGAGATCAACACGTGTATAAAAAGTAAACATCATCTTCATATACTAAATTTAATGTATGGATCCACTAAGTTCCATTTATGTATCTACTTAGTTTCATTTACATATCCATTAAATTCTATTTATATATTTACTAAGTTTCATTTATTTAACTATGTAACTCTCATACTTTCCCTTATCTATGTGTAGGCATGATGCAAGTTTGTGCAATTAAACATGGTGAAATGAGTTCACTACAAGAGCTTTTGTTATTTTGGTTATTTCTCTTTTCTTTATTTTATAATATCTCAGACAATTCTTAGGATTGCTTTATTAGAATTTAAATTACAAACAACTGAAGTGATTTAATGACAATTCATTTCTTGTGAAAATAAGTCGATCAATAATAATATATCACTTGTAAAATTAAGTGTTGAAAAATAAAACTTTCACTTTTTTTAAAAATAATTTTAACACATTTGTATTTCATTTTCTTACCCAAGATAATATGTGTATCATGTACCATCAATTGAACTAATAGTTAGGTAGAGGAAAGCTAATCCATGAACATTGGTACCGTTGTCTTATTTAAAATAGTTAATTATTTTGCTTGTTTTCTATCTAGCACGCTTTTATTCCCATAAACAAAGTAATGAAAATTCATTAACATTGTTTTGATAATAGATATAGTTCAAGACTGACAAGCAACAAAGGGCAATGTGACAATAATAACTTATCCAACTGAAAAATAGCAAGTTTTCTAACTTTTGTCAGATAATATAATACTACAAGTAGATTTACAGTGTATACTATATTAAAAAAATTATATAACATGTATCAATCCTAACTTTTATAAAAAATAATAATAATAATAATAAGGGCTTGAATTTCAAAATCACCATCTTTTAATAAATATTTTCAAAAACCAACCCTTTGATTTAGTTTTTTATTTAGTTTTTTATTTATTTAAATCATACATGTTAAGTTTTAGAATTAATGGAATGTATGTAACTAGTTTATTGATTATAGAAATTTTTATGCGTTAAATACATACTAGAAAATATAAGTTTTTTAATCAAATAATTATAGATATTAGATTAACTTGAAAATTAATATAGATGATCTATATCAATAAAATATTAAATTTAACAATTAGTTTTTAAAAATATTTATTAGAAAATAATTTTGTTAAAGTTAGGGATTGGGGATCTAATTTCTTTATAGGAGTAAAGATTGATATGCATTATAATTTTTTTCTTTTTGTATTTATGGTCAACATATTTTGGCTTAGTTTTTGCATATGTTTAGCATCTTCAACATTAACCTAATGTATTCAAGAAAATTAATTTATTTGAGTGTTAATTTTAAGACTTAAATTGAGTATTATACTTATCTTTGATCCAAAATATAATCATTAAAACACCACACAACATATATATATATATATATATGATCATTAAACATAATTAATGAATGAATGAAATAAGAATGTTTAAAAATATATTTTAGATGATAATATAACATTAAACAAATTAATTACATTAATTCATGTATAATTCTCAAATAAAAAATTTATAAGACCAAGTGTTACATAAAATTATTAATCATCATTATAAGTGTATTTCCTTTCATTTATTTTTTATTTTGTTATAAAATATCTCAATTGGTTAAAACTCTAATAAAAGATAGAGATAGAGAGGAAGACTTGTGAGGAAGAGGGGTTGGGGGCAAAATAACTATTTGAACCTTACCATAAGTATAAACGAGCATTATTTTACTAATATTTTTTATTTTTAAAAA